GCAATAATAAAAGATTTGTATTTTATCTTGATAATTTATTATAGTATTAAATTTAAAATCAACTTAAGTTGCTATTAAATTTATTGGTTATATAGTATCAAGTATAGAATCAACTTAAAATGCATATCAACTTGGACTGCAATTGGAATTCTATTCTAACCTAAGTGAACTCTACAATAATTTTATTCTGACATACAACAGATTTATATTAACAATTTACAATAGTTTCATTTTGATGTATAATTAATGTTTAAATACTTTATTTAAATTCTCATCATACATATTTTAATTTAAATCTAATTTTGAGAATTTTCTCAAAATTTCAATTGTACTCATTGGTTTAATAATATATTCAGAAAATTTTTGTATATATGTAGCTTGATAGTATAAACATTTTGAAAATGTATTTGTTTAACCGCCTCTGGTTTAGTCATATGGGTGGAAATTTCAAGTTAGAGCACTGTGATAGGTAATAACAAAAGTAATAGTTAAACTGCATATAAAACTCGTAAGTACTTCTCATCAGTAATCCTGATTTTGGGTTATTCTAGGATCACTACTCATAAATGGGATATAAAAACTCATAAGCAACTCATAAACAACTAATAAGCAATTTTACAATTACTGCTCAAATTATTACTTTTAATCTTAGTAATTATACTATATTTTATATTTTATTGGCCTGAAATCTATTTAATCTCATCGTTCAACCTATATAATCACAAAAATTGGAAATTTCTGCCCATATGTCGAGTTCGACAGGGTGGCTTCCAAAGTCCCAGTTACATAATGGTTAATAATCTACACCCTGCCAGATACATGATGGTGATGATTGGCTTCCACAGTATATATTTTATTTCATATCTGGCAGGGTGTGGATTATGATTATCATGTAACTAGACTTTGGAGAAACCACCCTGTCGAACTCTTTAGTCTTGTTGGCTTCTAAAAATTGTTTCGTTTCACCTTTATGATCTATTTCATTTAACCAGCTTGATTATTTCAATAATTTCTATTATAGTAATCTTTTAACAAAATCTTTACTCATATATTTCATAGCTAATTTAATAATAACAATTTGGTTCTAAACATTTCGGTCTAGATTTACCGATAATTCTTAAAGCAAGATCATCATTAAACGGAATTCCATCAAATGCTCTTTGTTCAGTTGAAATTTCTGTTGCGATAATTCCAAGGCTGTAGATATCTGATATTGAGTATACAGCTGATCCATCAAAACCTCAAGCATTATATATTATAGAATTCCACAAATTTTTCCATCCTTTGAAAGTTCAAAATTAGCAATATATGTATTATGCAAGCTACTTTTTTGCAAAACATTTTTACTGTGTAAATTTTCAAGAACGAGTTTTTGCAAATGAATCAGCTCGAGATTATTGATGTTACTCAGATGATTATCTGAAACTCTCGGCTCTGTTTTTGTATCTGCTTATTATATGAATAATAAGTTCTAATCCCGATCTCAAATTAGGCAGAATGCCGTAATTATTCTATTTGGGTTTGGGTAATATCACTACCCAAGATTCAAAGCTATATCAGGTTGATTAAAAGTTTTTAAACAGAGCCTTTTGACATCTCTGCTAATAATATACAGTAAGTATTTATATACATTATTTAGTGCTTAACAAAAAGATTCTATCTGTGAACTTTTTACTTACGTACTTGGGTATATAAATTTAAACAATGTTTAATATTAGTGGTAATAGCAAAAAAAAAAAAAAGAACTTGTCTAGGGACTTTTAACCAACCCAGTATAGTGCAAACCTAATTTATCTTTCTATTCTAGTTGTGATACTTGTACAAGATTTTGCTATAACAAATCTTTTAATGCATAATCCATAACAATAAAATAGTTATTATAAATATTTCTTGAAACTCTCTTACATCCCAAGAACAAAGAATTCTTATATCCAATTTCACAATAATTTTTCTAAATTCTTGTATATTTTTGTTTGAATCATGGATCATTTTAAGCATACTACTTTTCTATATATTATTAACTCTATCGAACCAACGTATATAATATATAGTTGCAAATCCTCATTTTCCCTCTTCTTTGATATCTCTGAACTTATTAGGTGGTTCATGCTGAAAAGTAAACAAATGTCCATTCCAATTCTTTCAAGTATTGATACTACTCACTGGTTCGAAGACAAAATTTTGTCAATTAGTTTAACAAATTGAACAAAGTAGGGGATACAAACCTTAAGATTAGTATTTTGTTGTTCTTAAATGATTTGAGTACCAGGTATTCTTATAATACTCGAGTGGATTTTCTTGACGAGTACAATCTCAACTAAGAGAAATGCTTGAAAATACTCTAACTTTTATCATTTTTTGTTAATAAATAAATATTTTTTTAAGTTTAAAAATGAATATACATATATAACTTAGCTAAATTTGTTCTCTAAGTAAAGTTTTTAGTGATAATGATCTATACTGATCTTTTTTTACTAAAGACAAATGAAGAGTTAAAGAACACGATAATAGAGTTTAAAAAAGTTTATTATATAAAACCACAAGTTACCAATTGACGATGTGGTTTTTTATAGTAAGGGTTACTTTAAAATTTTTTATTTATATTGTGTAACTCAGAGATCTTCAAGCCAATCAAATTGAATGTCCGCTATGCTATGCCAAACAAGTATAAAAATTATATAACAAATACAATATTTTTATATCTCTACTGTAAAGCTTCGCTTTAACATTATTGTTTCTTTCTGACCATACAACTGACTTTGGAATATTTGGTTCCAACCTAATCTGTATCTCGAGCCAGGTGCTGCTGCCATCCGTAGACCTATATCTCAAGCCATCTGCTGCCACCATTAGAACTTGGGACCTGTTCAAATTAGTAGCACCATATCTGTCGAATACGTAGTTGTAATCTACTTGGCTTTCCAGATTTGGGATATAAACAATATCGATCTTTTGGAGAGGGTAAGCCAAATCTCCACTTTTTATCTAACAAAAAATTTTAAGAATGGCAAGAGTCATGGAAAGTAATTTTAACAATAAAGAGCAACTACTTGTAAAACTTGTAAGGAGTGTGTTGAAAAATAAAAACTTTTGTTGTTCTCCTTGTCTTTTTTGTTTGACTCTTAAGAGACTTCATTGACAAAAACCCTCCTCTTCAGAACACTGCCTCTACTAAAATTTTCTGTACAAGGGCACCCCCTGCTAGTTATCTTGTATCAAAACACTTTTGGCTTGCATGCCAAATATATAAAGGAGTTAAGAGAGTAGCAAAGAGTTGACTTCTACAAAAACCACCTCATCAGAATACAAAGCAATATTATCTCTAACAAAATTTTGTTTTTTTTTGGGTGGAAAATTTGAAACAAATGATCGTTAGAAAGAGTTGATTTTTATATTTTTTGATGAGCAATATAAAATTATTATAAGATTATAATATAAATAACTAACTATTTAATCTAATTTAAGCAAATTCAGGAATAGTTAGAGTTAGAATAAGGTTTATAGTTTATATTAAAGTTAGATTAAGGTTTATAGTTTATATTAAAGTTAGATTAGAGTTAGGGGCATGACATTTATTACGTAATATTTTTTACTTAGTAGCTATTTCTATTCATGTATAGTGTGATCACTTTATCTAATTTTGATTGGTTAATATCATATATAGATGTGATCACTACCTCTGACTATATATTCATAGTAAAAATCACATAATAAATGGCATGCCCCTTAGGGTTAAGAGTTTTTTATATTATAATCTTATAATATTCTATATTGCCTAGCTATACTAAAGAAGATCTATCTTAATATTAAAAATATTAAAATTTAAATAAAAATTTATAATAAATTATGATGTAGTTAAATAGACTAAAGTTAAATTAGCTAAATTCTTTATTATATAGTATAATACAAAATTTTAATAATCTTAAAATTTGTAATTGAATTTTAATAAGTTTAAAATTATTAAAATTATTAAACCAAATATTTTTAATATAATACTGTATTTATTTTTGTTTTTTCTAATCTATTTATTAATAACTATTGCTCTACTCAGATTTATCTAAAACACTAGATACAGTATTTTATATATAAAAAATAAACCTTTTTATCAATACACTACTGTATATATACTGTAAACAGTATAAAATGCCAAAATATATATTAAATATACTGTACAGTATATTAATATGAAAAAATTGTTATCTGTCATTGTGAATAACTTTTACGTACGTACGTACATAGTTAATGCACTGTATATACTTAGTAAAATTTCGACTTTTATATAGCAACTTATCGTCGAGACAATACGTATAAACTATATATTTAACCAATAAAAAATGATTGCGCGTAAAAAAAAGACCGATAGCATTAAATGATTGGTCATTATTTGATTATCCCTGAATGTATAATACTGTATTAAGCACCCTTGTATAATAAAAAATTGTACGTAAAGTTTTTAAAATTACGCTTTTTTCTTTTTTTGATAAAAGTTTAATATATATAGATTTTATTATCAAAAGTTATATATATAAAATATGTATATATACATAAATATAAATATATATATTTAAACTTTAGATAAGTACGTACGTAAAAACTCTGCAATTTTAAATTTAATATAAAATAAAATTGGATAAAGTTTAGTTAATATTGTAATTATACTACGTAGAAATTGCAATTGAGGTGAAAATCAATACGTATACAATATTCGATAAGGAGATATATAAAACTTCTCCGAGAAGATAAAACCTTCGAAATAACCGGTAGAAAAAAATATCTTAAAAGGTTGATAATAGCGTTTCATAAGGTGTGTCACAACTTGAATATAAGGAGGATTCCGGCATATTTCTGTATTTATCATTCACGCCAATATTAATACATATTATACGTACAGTACGTAGCAATATTATTATGAAGTATATTATGTAATTATTATTATTCACCTTTTTCTTAAAAAATCCTTGTTTCCACTTTCCTTTTTTAAGGAAAGTGTAAATGCGAGAATGTATCCAAATATTGAAATATTATTGTAGATCAAATATTTGAAGAGAAGAAATAAGAAACAGGTGTTTCTTGCGCCATGTGCCTTATAAGGTTGATTATGGTAAGTTATGATTAAAACAGGATTGTTCAGACGTTGATCGTTGGCAAATAGCGAACCACCATCAACACAATCACGAAGCAACACAAACACGAAGTGTTACACTGCATTACCGATTGCAATATTTAGACCATAAACTTGATAAATTAAGTTTACTTAAATCGGTATTTCGGAATTCACCATTTTTTTTTATAAATACTGAAAAAAATTGAAATACATGGCTAAAAAAACATTTACAAAACCTAACGAAAGAAAAACGGTTTAAGAATATATATATATATATATATAAATATTAAAATATGCGCAATAATTCTAATACTTCGATCTCAACCATAACACCACCTTTAACTCATAGTAGAACTCATAGTAGTGATGAAGAAGATACACCATATCACATGAGTTTTGAGAGTTCAGAAAGTTCAGAGAATTCTATAAACATAAAAAAAAACCCCCTGATGTAAAACATCGTTATCATAAAGTTCCAATTCAAGTTGATGAATCTTTATGTTCTAAATTCTATGGTTTTCCCTTGGGTTCTTATTCACCATGTCAAATAAACACTACTACATCTCTTGAACAACAATATCCTTCTGATCAAGAATATTATATTGGTTTAAAGAAACCCTCAAAGCGAAAATTTTCTATCAGAAAGAAAAGTTTATTTGGTTCAAAGAAACCTCCTTCATTAAAGATTGATACTTTTTTGGCCCGTATGGATGATTAATGATTCTGAACATTCTGTAACTTATCTAATTTAAATTAATATAATATCGATCCTTGCCTTTTTCTTTAATAGTACTTTCAAAATATGTTCTTTTTAAGTTTAGTTGATATAAACTTTTCTAATTGTATATTTTATTGTCTATGCTTTCATTTATAATAATAAATATATACTTCATAGAAAAAAAAATCGCTATATGCTTTTTTTGTGTGATGTTTCTATATTTGCGCTATTATACTTGCTATAAATATTAAATCTTAGCCTTATATATTTATATTAAAAAAAATTCAAAAAGTTTCACTAAGCTAAACGTTGATTATCCGATAATGCTTATATTTTTTTGCAATAACCCCGACTATTGTATTATATGTGTACCCTACGTACAGTATCATTGTAACTATTGTACTATTTTTGTGCGCTATTTTTACAATCGAACTGATTTCCGATTTCAATTGTTACTTACGTACGTACTGTACGTATCAAGTATCAATATAGCAATTTTTTTATAAATATAATAAATATTGGTATTATACTAGGAAACGGGAACCGTTGGGGTTCGGAGTCTAGAATACGTATTAAAATAATTTTTTTATTAGGTTGTCTTTAAGATAATCTTTTATGTTATTTTTACGTCTTACGGTTGTCTTTAAGATAATCTTTTATGTTATTTTTACGTCTTACTTGAATTCGAACTCGTCAAACTGGGGTCTAGATTGTCTTTTTAATTTTTAGATATGTCAAACAACTTGCATAATAAAATGTGAAATCAAAAGGCATAGGCAGAAATCGGGTGATTTCAATTTACTAAAAGGCTATACCGATACCCCCTGATTAAAAATTAATCAGATTTGCATGACCTGAAACCCCCTCCCTCTAAAATCAGCTGATTTTGCCCTCCGATTAAAAAATGAGATGACGTAGAAAATGTAACGGTTGATTCTAACAATATTTTAGGTACGTATTATCACTTATTGTCCGGAGCGAAGGAAGCGAAGGGTGCTTTGTTTTTACAGTACATGATAAGCTCCAAGTTTTTGGTTGCAGTCTATGCGTAGAAATTTTTTTATTTATGTATTGGAGTTTTGTCTCTTATTGATATTGTTTGTTGTTTTTCTTTATCCGAAGCTACTTCATTTTTATATATTTATCTGTCAAATATTGCATTAGTATTTTTTATTACAGTATTTTTAATTTCAAACCATATTTTTAGAGTTCCGGAATCTTGATCTAGTTCTATAATTAGATTGCCAAATTAAGTTATAAAAGCATCGGGCTCACTTTCAGTACGTATATAGTACGTATTCAAAATATTTGCAAAATTATGTTTCTCCTGCATAAGGTCTACTGATTCTGAAGGGAGAGTTAGCTAATGTATGTACTTTTCGTTGCAAAAAAGGATTGAAAATTATTTATAAGAAAGTGGGTCTATTTCTATTTAATATACTGCCTTTCTCTTAGCGCCTAAATAAGATACAAATGCGGGTACAACATCCTTCTTAAGTTTCGTACCATATACCCCGTCCCCTCAAGGGTATAGTTCCTTTTATTTCCAAGGTTTTAAGGTTTTGGGTCTTCTTTTCGAGATTTTGGCGTTATAGTCATTGTATGATTCTGATATCATGTTTAAAACTCCAATTCTTGGTTTTAAGGCTTTGATATCGCTGGTTCGATTCCAGCAAGGGTCTATTTTTTAAAACTTAAGCCGGTTGGATTCTTAGTCTTATGACCTTGATTTGATTTAATAACAATTAATTTTTGTCTCATTTATTTATTATTACGTATAAATTATATAACAAATTAATTTAATTAATATAACTATGGCAAACTAAAAATACACCCCAAAATTTGTTTTTATAACTAGAAAAACGGCGACGTTTTATAGGCTGGAGCCTCAATTCTTAGGTCTTACAATTTATATAGAATTAAATTTAAAATAGTATATACATAAATATATTTTTAATATTATATTTTTCTAATAATCTTTGTTGCAAACATGCACTTTGTCCTAATTTTTGTAATCTGTCAAAAGAGAATGCACTATCGAAAAGATCATTAAGGGTACGAACCCTTAATACATCAACGAATGTAAGACCTGTTGCAAATTCCTTATTTCCAATATTTATGACAGCTTGCGGCAATGTCAAGCCTTGTGATTTATGAATTGTAATTGCCCAGGCAAGACATAATAGAAACTGTATACAAGAGCAAATACCAGATTTTCCCTCCCAAGTGTATTCAATAGGTCGTTTGGTACTCTGTTTATTGTAAATTCAATTCAGTATCGTTCTGTAGCCGTGCAATACCAAAGATAAGTTCCTCGTACTATGTGTAAGAGTATGTAAATTGATTTATTAATT